ATACGGGGATGGGGGCAGCTCGCGCTCAACTTCATCAACGTGGCGAGCCTTGCACGTGAGAGGCACAGTGGAGGTGGAGTTCAAAGAAGAATGAGAAATTTAATGGTTTCAATCTGCCCTTGTTTTTTCTTTTTCTTTTTATTTTTGCATGTTATCACTGTGCCCGTTTTTTGCTTTTATTCTTTGTTCCGCAAAGTGCGCTCTTTTAGTTTGTAGTGATGTGACAATATATATATATATATATCGTCATATATTTTTTAAACCACTGAGCTCTACTAGAGGAGGTGATACGAGCAGCCTCCCCTAGTAACTGTTCCCGGTTGCTCCATCTATTGGTGGGGAGCTACACCTGCTGGAAACTGGGTCCAGCGTCCCTGTACAATCCAACAAGAAAAAGACACAAAATATTCTGCCAGCAAAGGCCCAGCATTGATTACCCCTGGGCATCCTGGGGGCAACCTGGGGGAACCAAAAATGAATAAAAAAATACAAATAAACTACGCTACCAGAGTGGCCCGGGGTCAGTTGCCCGGCTGGGCCCAAAAAAAATAAAAAAATAAAAAGGATTTTTTAACATTATTTTTTATTTTAAATTTGGTAAAGAATTTCTATGTGACCCTGAGGCAAAATTTGTTCAGGTTCAGCCACTCGGACACTTGGAATAATCCTCATCGACCAACGGCGGAGAAGCTTTATCGGACGAGGGATAGGAGAAAGCCCTCGAGTCTCCCACTTGGCAGTGGCAGTAGCCTTGGGGCGTCTACGTTCGGCGGTATCTGCATCAGCTTTACAGCACAGGCAACTCAACGACCATCTTGGTGATTCTTCACGTGGAATCTACGGCACAGGGCGAGAGTCCGAGTTCGGCAGCAGATAACGAGATTCAGGAGACGTGCCCGTTCGCTGACAGCTGGAGTTGGGAGATCCCTATCTGACCGTCGAGATACTCTTATTGATGGCGCATATAGCGCTCCTTGGGGTAACTGCGAACGGTAGAAGATTTGCCTGTTTCTGGATTGTCTCTTTCGGACGATGAGAGCTGGACGCAGAGGATGTGAATGTAGGTTGAGATATTGGTGGAACGAGGTGCATCTTTTGTGCTTCAGTTGTTGATTTTTTTGTCATTTTCCAGTTCTGTTTAGTGCGGAGACCTTCCCCGGAGCTTACATTCTGTTCCTTTGTTTTCTAGGAAGTGCTTGCGCTCAAGAAGCTTTGTTGCGCAAGAATCTTTGGCGACTTTTTCCTATATGTGCTCGTTTTCTCTCTTTTCATCCTCTTCCTTTGGTTACTAGGGAGCGCTTGCACTCAAGAGTCTACCTTGAACGTGTATCTTTGGTGACTCTCTGCTATATCTGCCTTTGGTTGCCCAGTGAGCTCCTGAGCTCACGGATTTTGCTTCATCGTATTGCCTATTGGCAAACCTTTCTGCTAATCAAATCTGCTTTTTTAACTTATTCCGTGCTGCCTCACTGCGAGAGGCACTTAGAAGAGACTTCAATCTGATTTTAACGCGCTATTTTCCGAAAAATCGGCGACGGGTTTCCTATGGAGTTAAATGTTTGGTGCCAAAACTGTGGATGTGAACTGGAGTGGAACTGTGTGATAGGGCAGTGCCAGCAGGATGATCGGCCTCAAAATGGTGATAGTGAGGTATTGAGAGAGAAAGGCATTGTAGAAGCTGGGGGCATGGTTAAGTGAGAACAAAAGATAAGACAGGTGGAACACAGTGAAAAGGATGAACTTCATGGAGAAGATCACTACAAGGCCAACAAGAGGGTCTTCAAGATCGTTATGATGATGATGATGATGATAATGGTTATATGAATCTTTGGAATCAGAGGATTTGGGATAAAGAAAGGGAAGATCATAATGCAGGTTTGGGCGGTACAGTTTATTGGACTGAGAAGAGAGGTGAGGACAAGAAAATGGAT